TAGTTTAGCGCATGGCCTTGCTCTGAAGTCTATCATGTGCCCACTTCCTTACTGGATAAGCTTCCTAACGGAAGCCCTGCAGTCTCTCTAAATCCCTCCCCTTCACCCTTCTTGGTTTGAATCAGTGTGTATTCCTCTGGAAAGGCCAGATGACCTGGGAGGAAAAGCACTGGCTTTACATCAGACAACCTTGTTTCTAGTCCCAGCTCCAACACTTTTGTGACACTTAGGGACCCAGCAAGAATTTGCGGAAGACACTTGTACGAAAGGACTACTTATAATAATGCAGAGTTAAGGGAAACAGCATTTGACATGAGGCCCCCAGGGACTAAGAACGGTGGGCAGCCATTTCCACTCTTAGTCTAAAGCGGCAGGAGGGTCAACAGTGAGTGGTATTGAAACCTGGTTGGGAGCTAAGCAGTAGTTTTTACATAAGCTCAGGCAAGTGATCTCACCTTTCTGCGTTCAGTTGTCTCATCTAGAAAACACTGTGTTCTGAACTTGTTCTGAGAGAACACGTGCAAAAGCAACTGAAAAAGAATTACTCATTAGAATTGTCCCTCATCTAGCTTCACATTCTCCCTTTTATAGTGTTTTTATGTTTTTGCTAGTAATCCTTCAACCTAAAGCTGTGACTACAGCCACTTGGTCTTCACTGTTGATTTTCTGAAGAGTTTCCTGGGACAGTAGAGAGAGGGATAAAAAGCTTCACCCAAAGATATAGACAGGGAAAAAAAGGAATAACAGAATAAAAAGAAAAGTCCTCACTAAATGAAATCCACATTTCTTCCTCACTCAGGACTTCTGATAACAATCGGAGATGGAGCGGTGCCTCCAGGGGGTGCAAAAGGTTTTTTCTCGACTCTCGCTAGACATCTGCCTAGAATCCGAGATTTAACATTTGTTCTTCCTTGTCTCAAAGTCTAAAGACATTTAGAAAGATTAAAATAGTCCTGGACCAAGTCATCAAGAATTCCTTTAATAAGTTAGACATTTCCAGAAAATTAACGAGTTTCCAGGCAGATCTCTAAGCCTGAACGTATTCAATTAAACACAATTCCGTAAGCAAAAGCTGTGATGTCATGTAACTAGAAATAGCTTTGATATTTACAATCGTAAATCTGTCTTTCTTTTTTTGGATATATTGCCACTATTCTCAGAGCTGAAAGTGACTTTGGAGATAACATAGTTGAATTCCATCATTTTTCAGATGAAGAAACCTGAAACACAATGACAAATACAGAGTAAGGATTCACTTTGATCCCTGGATTGCTAGCCCGGAGCCCTCCTTGATGTAACACACAACTTCTTTATGTTAAAGATCTACAATCAAACAAAAATTTTGAGGCATTACTTTTTATAGGAAGCACTATTGGATATTCAGTTTGTAAATTTGCTCAGCAATGAACTGATTTGTGAAAAAAGAAGTTATTTCAAATAGGCATGCCAGACAATGCTCACCACAGTTTTACGAGTATCCCATAACTTCATCGTGGAGAAAGAACATTCTTTCTTGTTGACAGAAAGCAATCTATCATGCATATTAATTTTCTCATTTTTAATGCTATATAACCATTTAATCATTTTTTTCAAATTGCTATAATAATTCTGTCTCCTCGATTTCTCTAAAAATAGCAGTTTTTCTTCATCTCCTAATTTCAATGGCTTTCAAATGCTGCTGTCTGCTCTATATTTCAGAGATGACTTCTAGCTGCTTCAGTTACACAGACCCCGCCAGCAGTACCCTGTTTGACTTACTCACGTGCCTCCAGATCAGAGTAACTGGAGAGCGGAGCATTTTCAGGATCTGCATGTCAGCTCTGTGGTATAATGACTGATGTCAGCCCCAACTTTGCCAAACATCTCTCATCACTACTAGTTATATCCCATTCCAAACTATGGGGCTTGCTCTCTCTTTTTGGAGCACACCCCCTTTTACATATTTGCAGTATGGATTCAACAATATGACAATCATTTTCTCTTCTTAAAGTGCCACTGCTGCAATGGACAAAAATAACTTGTTACTGTTGTCACTGCCGGGAGGGGAGTGGGGGTGGCGAAGGAGACAGGAGAAGTTTCATTAACTAATCTGGATGTGTTTAATCCACTCTCTTTGTTCAGCACTATTCTATTCTTCTGGCTTGACTTTCTTAAACGCCAGGTTATCCAAACTCCCTGGGACTTGAATGTTTTCTGGAGAAAAATAACAAGCAAATGTTGACTTCTATGCTGAGTCTATGGTTTTTAACTTGCTTTAAGCTTAGGCCCTGGAAATCATTGGCAGCCACAGACTTCTGTGAGTGTTGCTTTCTTGATTTAAAAAAAAAAAGCTGGGGCGGGGGTGGGGTACTATGTGGCACAAAATAGACATGGCACGCTTTCCCTAAGCTGCTAGGACAGTTGAGGGAATGTAAAGCTCAGCCAGGCAAGTAAACACACATTTAACAGCGCAGTAACATAGATCAGGAAAAAGTTCTAAAGCATAGCATCAAGAGAGAAAGAATACACTCGCCGTTTATTTAATGTTTTCCTTATGTTTCCTCAGAACAGCACTTACTCCTTGACAAGCTTTTCCTGCCCACTGCATCTAGTACGTTTTTTCTGGGATGGCTCAAAAACTACAGCTTCTCACTCTGTTTGTTTATTTATTTACACTACCATTCCCATTCTCATCCAAACTAACATATGTCTGCACAGCACACACAGAAAAGTCTTTCTTCATGTTCATTTCCCTGAAATTGTTCACCAAATTGCTCTTTTACATCCCTTTTGCAATCTCATCCCATCCAAGTCTCCCCGGTGAGAATGGCCTCCTCTGGGGTCCTTTTCAAAGGGAACCTCCCACAGTCTTCAAACCTCAGATTTTACGTGCAGATTCAGGATCTGAGGTATTCAGTGAGAAGGAAAGGGAAGCTGACTGTGACCAGCACAGAAACATAAAGTAGCTTCTCTTCTGGATAAGAATGATTGACATTGCCCTGTTATCTGTACCTTTTCTGGTTCACAGTGATAAACCCAGTCATTTACAACTGGACATTATGCAACAGATAAAGGAGGAGAGTGTGTTCATGCTTTGTGGGTATGTATGTGATGAATAGAAAGAGAAATATTCAAATAGGAATTCTTTCAAATAAGCCAAAAATCATAATCTTAATGGGATTATCGTGGTTGTTGTCTTCCCCATAATATAAAACCTAAAGAAAACTATTTCCTACCCTCCAAATTCCAATACAGGCTTGCAAAGTAATAAATGATACTCAATTAAAGAATCAGCATGGAAAGGCCAGTCTCTCAGATTCTAATTTTTAGCACCTTGACAAGAATCCATATTTTATGTTCCTTTCCTTTTGCATCCAGGGCACTTCAGTCCCTAGTCCTCCCTTTTGGGGTGTGTGACAGCTACACCATTACAGACCTCAGAGGCACAAAACAATCTGAAACACTGCAAACTTGCAAACCAGGGTGGACACGGGCAATGACCTTTTTTCTCCTGTCATTTATCAACACATAAATTGAAGGCAATCCAGTAATAGGGGTTACAAATGGATGAAGAAGAGAGAGGAATGCTAATCTTACTGCTTTCCCCCAGGGCTTTAGCTATTTTCTAAACCTAAATTATTTAAGCACAATAATGAACAAGGTGTGTATGAATCAGAGACTTTTTCAAAGTGACCTCTCCTTAGTTCGGGGCTGTGTAAACCGGTGAGGCCACACAGCGTAGTCCTGCAGACATCCCGTTACAATACACAGGGCAGTCTGCATTATAATCGCTTTGGAGGCTTGTGACTTTTAACTAAACACTTCAGCAACTACTGGAAGCTCCTCGACTTGTGTTACTAGAGAAAGGAGCTGGGAAGCTTACCATTGACTAATAACAGCCAGAAGTGCTGGCCTTTGGTTTCCCGCCCCTGGGTGGACCAGAGAATCTTATTTTTCACTGCCATGGGGCCCCTACCAGCACGGAAGGAAGTAGTAGACCCTCCTCTCCACCCTCAAGACCGGAAAAGTCTTTCCCAATGTCATTCCAAGTCCCCCAGATCAGAAACCAAATTGCACAACATCTCAAGATGGGGAGACGAAGGGTGAGGGCGCAGAGGGAGGGTAAGTTACTAGGAAGGAACTGCCTGAGGGGAGGAGGAATCTTCCAGGGCCGCGGCCAGGCTCAGTCTGGAAGAAAGCCGTAGTATAATTGAATTTCCAAAGAGATGGTCCTGAGCGCACACACTTCTGGGTCCTACCCCTTCGGGCAGGTAGCCCGTGGCCAGGCTGACCGCTCCCGAACACTGAGCTTCCTCGGGACCACCCGCCCTACGCCTAACTGCAGCTACTTTTATTGAAAGAAAGGGAGAAAAGCAACAGAGGAAAGGCTAAAAAAGAGGGAAAAAATCCGGGAAGTTGTCAGCAGCGAGAAACCCTCCAGCAATCTGCCAAGCACTCAAGGGGCAAGCTGCCCAGAGTCCAGTCGTCTTGCGCCGGCGCTGGGGGTGCAGGCGCAGGGATGCAGAGCTCTGGGCAGGCGAGAGCAGGGTGCACCCATTTGGAGACTGTGGAGACCAGCGAGACTCCGGAGTAGGGCGCCCGGGTCTCGCGCCCGCCGCGAGCGCCCACCTCTCTCGGCAAAAGCTGTCCTTTGGAAAGCTCTGTTCTACTCCCAGAGCCTCCTCAGCTCCCCCCCGCTTCTGTCCTCCCGCCTTCTCTGCAGCGTCCAGAGATGCTCCGCCGCAGACCCGGGACCCCTTAGGCGCCTCTTCCCGTCCCTCTGCCAAATCGCAACGCCTGTACTTTTCCAGCTCCCTCTTTCCCTCTTGAAATTGAAAGTTATTGAGGTCGCTCAGGGTTGTTGCTCCAGCAGTTTCCTTCTCCGCCCCCGAGCTCCCCCCGCCCCCCGCAGCCATACCCCCTCCCCCTCCCTCGCCCCGTTTTTCCCTCCCTCTCTCCCTCCCTCCTCCCCTCTGGGGTTCTCCTGGCAGCCCAGCCCTACTGGAGCGGCTCCTGCTCGCGGAAGGCAGAAGCAGCTCGGGGTCTCTCCACCGCCCCTTGGCCATGGCCGCGGTGCCGACGGCGCCCGCTCCTCTGCGCTCCGGGGGCCTCCGCCGCTGCTGCCGCCGCAGCAGCCGAAACCTCTGAGCCCCAGGGGTCGCCGCCACCAGCCCGCCCGCCCGCACGGATCCCGCCCGCGGCCGCCGCCGCCGCGCACCATGCTACCTGCGGCCGCCCCGGCGAGGCCGCGCGCTGCTCCCGGAACCCTCGCTCGCGGCGTTGACAGCCACCCCTGCGGAGCCGCCGCAGTTCAGGGCTCGGACCATTTGAAAGTACAATAGTTGGTTTCCCTGTCCACCCGACCCGCTTCGTTTGCCATCCCAGCACGCCCATCGGATCTGAGTGGAGAAGTTGTCCGCTGCTTGGGTTGTCTTGCTTTCTCTCTACACGCCTAACACCTACATATATTTCTAAAACATTCGATATAATTAACAATCAAAAGAAAAAAGGAGAAAAGGAAGGGAAACATTACTGGGTTACTATGCACTTGCGACTGATTTCTTGGTTTTTTATCATTTTGAACTTTATGGAATACATCGGCAGCCAAAACGCCTCCCGGGGAAGGCGCCAGCGAAGAAGTAAGTGCAGGGGGTTTTTACGCGTTTGTTCCCTTCGGCCCCGTTCACCTGTCGGGTCGCTTTGCCTGTGCGGAGTCGGCTCCCAGCACGGCGGTCCCCCCGCCCTGCACCCCACGCCTCCGAAGGGGGTAACAGTTTAGGCTCCGGCACTGACGGTGTCTCCCACGTCTTCCTCTCCACATCCCTCTGTTATCCCGCAAACACGCGGGTGCGAGTCTGGCGGACCGGGCGCTCGTGTGTCTCCCGCCCCCTTATAACTTCGCAGAAAAGGTTCGCAGGTTCGCAGAAAAGTTTGGTCTTTCGTTTGACTAGCTATAGGGATTGGTGCTTTTCTTTCGAGACTCGGACACGGGCCTCGAATCCCAGGGATGCCTCTGACCACTGAGGAGAAGCCAGTGGAAGCGCGCTCGCATGGCGCCCGCTCACCTTTGGTCTCAGACTCGCGTGGAAAAGCCTGGCTGGGACCTTCTGGGGCGATCGGCTGCTAAAAGCCCGCAGGGCAGCCAGGGAATGAGCCTGCGAACGCCTGCGCGGCCGTTTCCCCTCTCCACGCGCGAGTGGAGCAGGAGGCTCGAGAGGCACTCAGGGCGCGCGTGTCTGTGTCCTTCTGAGCTGCTCGCCGTCCCAGTGTCCGGACTGTGGGGACCTCAGAACCCGCCCCTGAGAGCTCAGTTCACAGTTACACCCTTGCCTGTCAAGCGTGAGCGCGTTTACCTTCTCAGGTTCTTTCAAGGGGGTCCCCTTGGGCAGACAAAAATCGAGAGTGGGTTTCCCCCTAAAGGCTGAAGCTCGCCTCCTGCCTGTCTCTTCCTCCGACTTCTGTTACTTGGAAGATTGGCTTGTGAAGCCTATTAAAACAGTGCCCTGGCCGCAATTGTCAGTGGGCGCCCCCAGAGCGCCCGCAGTCCTTGCTCGTCTACGTGAAAGGTAGCGTGTCCCTGAGACGAGGGGACGGACGTGAGAATGTCACCTCTCTCGGCTCCAGGTTAGCCCGCCGCGCGGGCCGCCCTCCTGTCTGTGCCGGTCCCCGCAGTCCCTTTGCAAATAAGCGGAGGTGGGGGCGACCCTAGTTTTAGTGTCAGGGGCGTTGCTGGGGAGACGGAGGGAGAAACCTTCCGCCCCGAGCTCTTGGGGCGCAGAGCGCGACGCTGTCTCCTTTGCCCTTCAGGTCTCCTGGGCCGCAGAGCAAAGACCTGTGGCGGTGCTGAATTCCGCGCGACAAGCCCTCCCTGCCACTCGGGACAGGCGCTGGTGTCGCGCGGAGGACGCGGCACAGGCTGGTGTGAGATGGGGATTTAGTAAACGCTTCTTCGCCCCAGTTTGTCTCTGCCCTACCCCTGGACCGAGGGTCCCCTGAAAGCTGCCTTTGTGTCACTCGCCTCCGGCAGACAAGGTTTGATTCACCTGAAAATTGCCTTTTATAAACGTGGCGGGGCCAGAGCGCCAGGAGCTGAGGGCCAGCATCGCCGCCTCCCGGATCGCGTGGCAGGGGGCAGGGGGACTAAGCTAAACATGCCAGGGCATCCCACTTAGTATTCTTGGCCTCTGAATGGTTTATATTCTTCGTAAATCCACCAACCACCTTTCACTCAAGCCTTGCACTCACGCCTGGCGGCCCCCCGCCTCTTCTCTCGTGGGGTCCAGCCGTGCAATTGAGTCACGGGTCCGTGGGGAGCGGGATGTCGGGCGCAGCACAGCCTCCCGTTTGCCGTCACTCTTCCGGCCCCTGGCCCACCCGGCGCCCATATTCCATTCCCTCCTGCACCCCACTGAGGACCCTAAGGACAGGACTGGAAGCCACTCAATTGCTGGGGCGGAACAGGGACCTGAGTGTTAGTGTTTTCAGTGTCTCCGATTGAACTTTTGGGGCCCCCGTGTCTGAAGGAAGACACAGGAAAGAAAGCTGGCCATCCATTCATCCCCACCCCCTCAGCGAGGACAATGACCTGGGAAGCTGTCCTGTGAAGCTGCCCCAAGGCCACGGGCAGCTGTGGGATAGTGCACCCCTAGGCTGGGACCACAGAGGAATTGCGGAGTCGAAAGGAGAACTGCTTTTCGACCTGCCTAAATGGTCTCAAGGCCAAGTCAAAGGCGCTCCCTGGTTATGCAGCGGGAATAAGAAAGGGAGTAGGTGGAACTGGTCGAAATTCCAATTATTCTGCGGGAGTGGGGCTGTGAGAGAGCTCGAGTGGCTGGGGATGCTCCCTGCTCCTCCGCACTGGAGTCTGCCCCTGCGGCTGGGTTTGCTGGAACAATCCTGGGAGAGGGGCGACCCCTTGCGTCCTCCGAGGGGACACACCAGATTCTCTCGGCAGGTGCAGGAGGGTTTTTTGGAGAATGGGGAAGGGGTGGAGGGTAAGGAGAGAGCTGTGCTGAATGTCCAGAAACTCAAGGCCAAACTGCGTGCGCACGTATTCATCTCTTTGGAAATCTCTGAGAGATTCATAAAAAGAGACTTTTTCTCAAATAAGGACTAGAAAAGTTTTTTTAATGAAAAATAAGGGAATAGTCAAAGGTATTTTAGAAAGAAGCAGTCTTACCTGTTTTTTTTTAGAGACAACTAAAGTGAATATTTAACAGTATCTCTTCTAGCCTGTAGTTAAGTAGCTTAACTTTCCTAAACTATTAAAATCTAAACTAATGATCTGAGAAGTAGAAAATGGAAGTGTAAGAACTTAGTGGTCTTTTGAATAGTTTACTAGAAACATGTCTTGCAAATAAAGATATTCACTTGTAGTATTAAATATTGCCAAGCTTAAAGAGCCACCACTAATCCTTAAACAGCAGGTAAAGCCTATCACACATTCCACTGTTTTCCTAAAACAACTGCTAGGCCATTTCTCTATGCTGTTGAAAACTAGTGATCTTGTTTCCTTTTTTTTTTTTTTTTTACAAAAGAAACATTTTAAACAGGGATTTTATACTTTAAAATATAAACTGAGTTATGGGTGGATACATACACAATAACTTTTTCACCTATTCGGATTCATATTCAGTTCCTAGCGATGGCTAAACTAAATTTATTCACGATCAAAATGAAATGCAACCATTATTTAAAAATTCCCAGGCAACAATGTTTTCAGAGGTAAGCCTTAGCTTTAAGTACAAGATGCTATATCAAGAACCTGAAACCTAGCTTTTACCATAATCGAATTCCAACTCAGTCTTCACAACTTGGTACAATCAGCTTCTGAATTCCAGCTAATCTGCTAATAAAGGGAATGATCAAATTTGTCATGATAATAACCACACACCTTACTATTACACCACATTTTCACTCAAATTATTTGTGCCCCTAAAGAGCCATTTGAACTAAAGAGATAGGCTTCAATATTCCCATTTTACAGAAAATGAACCCAAGAAACAGAGGCTAAGTAACCTATAGAAAGCCATACAGCTAGTTAGTGAAACTTGTCTCCAGCTATTTATACTATGTGCTGATTCATGTGCGAGAGAAGCTGCCGGGCGTGTTGAGTAATAAATCCTATGACCTCCAGACAAGTGTTTACTCAATATGTTTGGAGAATACGCTGTCCTGGTTGACTGGAAATTTTTGACATGATATTCATATGTATTATACATTAATGACCAATATTGAAGAGTTAAATACCCAATAATACTAATAGATCCTGTTAAATATATTATTTGGTTGTTCAGAAGAAATGGTAAGGTCACATCGTGCCAGAAGACTATGGTTAGAAACATTGCTTGCCATTATAGGATTCCTTATCTTTGTCGCCACATATTAATTCAGTGTTAATTGTTTATATTTCAGTTAAATGCAAGATTTGAAAAGCCATTGCATGTGTAATAATTACAAAGTATTCATTGACCAAGGTATAAAAATTTTAAATCTTTCCTAAAGATACTTGAAATAAAGGACAAATAATACAAAGGAAATATTTCAATAGCAATGAAATAAAAACTGATTTATCAGAATATACTGCTTATTGCTCATGACATTTTTTCAGATGTTGAGCCATTCTTTGAGATTCTGAGGCACTCTTGGTGTTTACACTCCAATCTTGGAAAATAAGAAGTTAACAACAGGAGGGAAAATCTTTCATTCTGCTATGCATTTTGTAACCACAGTTTTGAATGAAAGTATAGTTTGAATATTGGCTACAATGCATTTTATCACCTGTCTGTGTTTGTTACCAGTCTACCTTGTATTTGAAAGAAACATTGTGTAATAGATAGAGACACGTGTAAAATTTGCTGGAGAAAGTATGTTCGGCAACATATCGGGTGAAATCAAAGCCACATATTCAAAATATTAGACAGTAAGAGCAATATCTAAATATAAGAAAAAGACACTATTGTTAATTCTGATTTAAGCATCATTAGACTATGAGAATTGTTTCTTAAAATACCCGTTCTTATACTATTTTAATTCTTTTATACTTCAATAGAAGGATTTCACCAAGAACATTAAGAATGATAATTTTTAATCCAGGGATATGTTTATTGAGACAGAGAGAGAGAGAGAGAAGGAGCCATCAATATGAAAAACATCGATGTAAGAGAGAAACATCAGTCGGGTTGCCTCCTATAAGCACCCAACCGGGATCAAACTGGCAACCTAGGTATGTACCCTGACCAGGAATCAAACCTGCGACACTTTGGTTTGTGGGATGATGCTCCAACCAACTTAGCTACCAGGCCAGGGCAAGAATGATAATTTTTAAATATTGTCTTTTATTCCCAAGTTATTCTCTGAGAAGTACTTGATAACATAAGTTAGTGAAACTTGTCTCCAAGAGTGTGAAATTGATTTCATGTCATCATTTCAATAGTACTTTAAGCATGAAATATGAACAGTCTTTCAACTTGTAAGTAGATAAGTTTTGCTAAGTCATTTCTCCATTAACTATTTTCCTGACATCTAATAGTCTAAAAATTAAGTCCTCGGAAAGCTATGAATGGAAATTACAACATGTAGTTAAATTTGATATTCAAGTAATTTCGGGGAGACCCTTGCCACACTACTATAAAATAAA